GAATTGGAGAATGAAAAGCAAAATCCCTCTGATGTGGAGTGAACTATTTAAAAGTGTTTAGCCAGCCAGGTACCTGTTTTCAGAAAAATCTACATTTTTAGCTAATAAGGGTTTTTAAATATTTCTAGAAATGTATTTGCTTGTATTTGCAGCACAATTCTTTTACATGCCCTTTAAATTGAAAGCTGTAATATCTTAATGAACTGGTCCAATATTTATGAACATAAAAAATTAAAACAAACATGTCAGCCCTTGGAACGATTTTATCAGTGCTATCTTCATGCAGGCTTCCTATTGGCCTGCATATACTACACAGGGAGATTTTAAGACGTAGCCACTTACTGCATCTTATTTGCGATGCTCACTGCATGTCCGTCCTGTTGAGTAGGGCACAGGAAGGGGATGAATGTTAACAGGATCCCCAGACCACTTCTGCAGGGAGCCAGAGAAGGGCAAGGGAGTGGGCAGCAGAGATGCGTCCTGAAGAGCAGCTTGGAGTGTTTGGAAACAGAAGTAAATCGGTGTGCGCAGTTAGAGATGAGGGGCTTTTATGAACAAAAGCGTCATGCAGCCTGCGAATCAAGCCACAGAACTGTAAGCAAGGATAAGCTATGTAGTCAGCACTTGTAGCCACAGGGCAAAAAGGTGGTCAGGGTAGAAGCAGCGGTTCTCCAGCTTCAGCGGGCCTCAGAAGCACCTGCTGAAACTCGGTGTCCTGGGCCCAGCCTCCAGTTTCTTTTCCAGGAGGTCTGGGGTGGAGCCCAAGAACCTCATTTCCAATAAGCACGCAGGGTATGCTGCTGCCGTTGCCACATTTTGAGAACTAGTAGTGTAAAGTAAATACCAGAATTTTCAATCACATCATGTGTGGGTGTGTGTGTTCGACACGACTGTGTTACCTTTATGTAGACGATAGCACTACATTAACATTTGACTCGGATACTGTTTTCTTCTTGACCTGCTTAAAGGCTTCTAATTAAATATTCCTTGTTGACCAGAGTAAACTCACATTCTATTTCTAGGATAGTTTCTTAGTCCTCTAGCAGGTATGTTGCAGGTCTGAGACTCTTAGAGTCTCATGGAGACATAGTTCTGCTACCTGATGCGTGAAACACACCACCACCGCCGCCAGCCTGGCATTCGGGGCCTCCGTTTCCCAAGGCAGCGAGCTTCATGTGTGGTAGACCCTTCCTATTAGAAAGTTCTCTGCTAATTGGGCTAATGGGTGTTTTCCTGAAACTTTCAACCATGAATCACTGTTCTAACTCATGCACAAGAAGAGAAATGATGTTATTACTAAGGTTTTATGTCTATCTTCAAATAAATACAGCCTTTCATTCATTCTTCTACCATCCCTTTTTGTGGACAAAGATTAGGGTATCTGTCACCCACTCATTGTAAATAGGTGTCAAGTCCTCTCACCATTCTGGTTGTCTGTCTTAAATTTTGTACTGAGAATTTAACATTATTCTGTAATGGAGTAAAAATAATTTTAAAATTGTGGAATAGTATAAAAGTAGAGTCTAGGAGTTAAGATCACATGCATACTTTGACACTGAAGATACTTGAATTTGAATCCTCTTTCTGCCTCCATTCAGCCTTATGGTCTTGGGAAAGATCTCTAGCTTCTTTGAGATTCCTTGGCCTCATATTTAAAATGGAGTTAGGGCTGGGGATTTAGCTCAGTGGTTCCGCCGCCTGCCTTGTAAATGGGGTTATAAAACCTCCTCCACACCTGGTGCTGTATTTATCTGTGTTCTGTTGCTGTAACAAAATACATTGAGGCTGGATACTTTATTAATAAAAGAGGGCTGTTTAGCTCACAGTTTTGAATATTTAAGAAAATGGCACCAGCACCCGTTCAACTTGGTGAATCATCACAACACAGTGGATGGCATCGTGGTGGAGCACAGTGAGACAAGAGGCCGCGGACAGCTTCTGAGTTCATACTTGCTCTTTCATAACAGCTCAGTCTTGCGGCGACTAACCTGAGCCCTGTGAGAACTGCAATAGTCTCTTCTAGAGGCAGCATCTCCTCTGGGCCCCACCACTTAAAGCTTCCTGGGGACCATGCTTCCAACACATGAACTGTGAGGGACATCCACATCCGAACTACAGCAGGTACAAGATAGAGTTGGAAAACAGCTCTTTGAAGAGCAATTAAATCCTTAGACTTCACCTTGCCAAGGAGCTGAATAGTTACCCTAAATACCCATCACCCACCTAGGCCCTGGCAGAATCTGAAGGTGATTTTTCTGGAGAGAGTCAATGGAGGGTTTCTGAAATGAGAGATGAGCACTCACATGAAGGTGCGAGTGCTGTAACCCAGACTACAGGAAGAAGTGGCCGTTATGCACACAAAGGCTCAGTGCCGCAGCCCCCTGTCCCCACTGGTCTCCAAGCACACTGACAGCCAGACCTTTGCCTAATAGGCAAGTAACAGCAAATTATTCATGTGAGAACCTGAACTGCATCGGAGAAAACAACAACAATGAAGATACTGATATTAGTAGCTCCCTAAAAAACAACCCACCTAAATGACTATGCGCTGAGCCTCAAAGCTGACGAGCCCCATACTCACATTCAAAGCTTCCCTTCAGCTTTTTAATGCTCCATTCTTAGTAATAAGTAGACATGGAATATCAGAAAGCTGAACAAAAAAAATTTCCACATGCAATAGGCAAAACAAAGAAAAATTTGGAGGAAACACGAAGGGAAAAGAAAACTTCATAATTATAAAGAAAAACTTACCTTTACTATCCTCCAAGAGATAAGAAAATGCAGTGTAACCATAAAACAAGAACAGGATGTTACAAGAATTCTGAGAACAACAAAAAAGTACTTGGAAATTAAAATGTATAATAGCAGAAATGAGAAACTTGGTGGTAGAAATCGGAAGCTCAAGTTGAAAAAAATCTCCAAGGAAGTAGAGCAAAGAGGCAGAGGTAGGAAAAAATGGGAAAGTTTTTAAAAAAAATTAGAAGTCTGGTTCAGGAGATCTGAGATCTGAACAAGACAAGGTTCAGAAAGAGAACAGAGAAAACATAGAGGAGAAAATAACTGGTTAAATCCTCTGAGAATTTTCTGAAGCTGAAGGAAATGACTTGCCTGATTGAGAGTCCTACTTTCACTTGACCTCAATGAATGAAAATTGTCCCATTTCAAGGCACAACATTCAGAAGCTGCAGGACACTGGGGGCAAAGAGGAAAATTTTTCTAATACTTCAGAAGCCAAACAGATTATATACACTTAATAAGAATTAAAATAATTCCACTCTTGAATACTGGAAATGAAGAAGATGGTAAATATGGCCTTCAATTTTCTGAAAAGAATTTCTGCCTAGAATTATTTATCTAACCAAGCTATCATTAAGCCTAAAAGTAGAGCCCATTTTCAGACACACATTTCCCAAACCTTTACCTTTTGTGAATCCTTTTCATTGACCACCTGGAGAATGTGCTACATCAAAGTGAGAGAAAACCAAGAAGGATAAGGACATCGGATATACCCAATAGCCAGCCCCAGAGGGTGGTGAAGGGACATGTCAGATGACACCCAGAGCACACCATGTGAGAGGGTAGCAGTGTTATTTGGGACACGAATATGCAAGGCTTTCAACCCTGGTGTGCCCACTAGGATTGTAGCATCTGTTTAATCCCAGGATAGAATGTCCAGATTCGCCTGACCTGCATCCTGAAGTGTACCTGGCTTGTGCTGGCCACATGTGGTGAAGTTCCTGCTTTCCTGCTGCTGCACCCGCTTACAATACTCACTTCATCACCACAAGTTTTGTGATTAGAATTTTTTCCTGAGAACTGGAGAGGGGCCACAAAGGCCCTCAAGAGGCACAAATAGAGAGTAGCTACCTGGCCTGGCCATATTTTTATAAGAGTTCCAATTTAGTTTAGAAGGGACATGAATATGTGGAGCAAAAGACAATACAAATAAGTTATGTGTGCTAAGTGCTAAGCCTCAGCTTTCCTATTCTATGACTTGCGATGAATAAGTCTAAAGTATCAAGTTCAGAGCAAATCACAGACTAAAGAACTAGCTTTCACCAGCTTTATCCGTGTATCCATAAATGAATGCAAATAGATATTCCATGAAGAACAAAAAGTTCTGAGTTTCAGAAAGAAGTTTATCGCCTGAATAAGATACTGTAGATTTGTCAGAAGTTTAAGTATGCTAATAGGCCAGTTAATGTCCTGACATATGGCACAATGTGCAGTTTGCTCAGCCTTTCTTGACTACAAAGCCCTGTTTTACAAAACATCTTAGCAAACACGCTGTTCCCTCAGAAGAGTTTTGGAAACAATGATTTAGAATGAAGTGTGAGGCAAGACATTTCATAGGATTTTGCCTGAAAGGGAGTAAATTTTTCTCACATCTTTAATTTTACAGAAAACAAGTGTAGAATACTTGTTATGTTACTTACAGTTTCTTGGGAAGAAAGATGATTATATGTGAGTGCTAAGGTGTTCTGGATCTGAGATGGGTTGGTCTTCAGCTTTGGTTGTTTTTGACCACGGAGAGGAAAAGATGGATTGCACTTACTTTGGGTATTTCTCATTAGTTGGTAGTTCATTTTGTCATCATAATCTTGCAGGGGGGAAAACGATGAAAGACTAAGTTGCAGGTCTCTCAGGCTTTCTACTTTAAATACCAATTTAAAATGCTGGCAGTCAGTAGAATGGGGTTTAATGCTTTTCTCTCTGATGAAGTTTACAGTAGTATAAAAATACGTTGGACAGGGTTTGGGAGTCAAGATGAATATTGATAATCCTATTTTAGGTTCATTTCCATGGTATTATTGATATATAATACATCTGTAGATTTTCTCCATTTCCTGCTTTAGATTTTTTAAGGCTTATTGTGAATATTTAACATTTAAAATTCTAAGTAGTTTATATTGAGACTTTCCAGATAGACTTTTACATTATAAAATTTTTCTATTACTCCCATTTGTTACATAAATCTTTCTCTCCTTTATGCGTTTCAGTTTCAACTGCCTCTGCCTCTGAGGGAACATCTTCCTTTTCTGCTGCTTCTGTGTCCCCTTCCGATGCGGCCCCTTCAGAGAAGCCGGTCCTGCACGTACCCCCGGCTCTGCCCAGACCTTCCCTCTGGGCTCTGCCGCACCCACGGCGGTCTGCTGCCTCCACTAAGCGCAGAGGCAAGACGGCCGGTGCCCACTACCCCTTTGCTCCAAGGGCCCTGTCTTCTGATGAGGAGGAAGAAGACAACCTCAGCCCGCTGGAAATTCTTCCCGATAACTCTGATTCTGCTAAAAATAAGACCAGTCGTATTTCCAGCAGCGATTGGGTCGCTTTTCCCACCCAAAATGTAGACAGCATGCCCTCCGTATCCTGCTCTAGTTTTCAGCCAACCCAAGGGAACCTGCCCAGGGAACCTGAAGCAAACAGTTCCATTAAAGTTCTTCTCGAGGAGGTAAAAAGTGCGATAGTTAGACTCCATGAAGATCTGAGCACAGTGATACAGGAGCTTAACATCATCAGTAGCCACCTGGTGAGCATGAGCGGGACTAGTCTGCAAGTCGGCAAATCTGTGTAGGCTTCCAGTCTGCTCACATCCAACAATCCCAGTAGCCATTTTGATAGAATTCATGTGATTCCACTTCTGAAAACACTTAAGATGTTAACATTTTATTGATTCTCATTGCTATGGAAAAAGGGTGGTAGTGTAATTTGCCTTGTCAGGTTTATTAACAAGTATTTTAGCCAGGCATGGTGGTACACAGCTGTAATCCCTATACTCTGGGAGGCTGAGGCAGGAGTATCACAAGTTAAGGCCAGTCTGGATGACTTAATAAGACCCTGTCTCAGATTTTAAAAAATAAATAAAAGGGGCTGGGCATAGTTCAGTGCAAAGGCCCTGGGTTTGTTCCCCAGTATTGAGGGAGGGGGTGTTTCAGACCACTAAATGTATTTGTGTGGTTTATTTTCCAAGGAGAAGTCACCTTTGATAATTTCCAACTTGTATGTTAGCTCATTTGAAACTGAAGAGAATTTCATTCTTCCATGCTTTGTATTTGTACCTCAAAATGGTGTTAAACATTAGTGGAAGATGAGACAAGACTTCAAGGTGCAAACAACTCTCTGAGAGCTGTTGGGTAAGTGAGCAGCAAGAAGCCTTTATTTTTCAACTGTCTGGATTGTCAGTGTTAACAAGTCTCTACCTTGACCCAGGCGGTTTGAATTTGGAGTGTTGGTTTCAAATGTTCTCTTGCAAGTTTCAGGTTCTGCAAAACAAGGGCCTGAATCTCTTCCTTTCATATGTCACAGTGTTGATTGTTGAGTTGAAATAAGTAGGACATGGGGCATATGTTTTTATTGTTAATGTACTTTGTAAAGTGAATTCAAGTGCATACTTTTTTCCTTCTATTTCAGAAATAAATTTGGTTTTATTTATTTTATGTGTATCTTTTTAATTTGTTAAGACATTCTTTCAAATAGAAATATCTTGGTTACTTATCGACAAAATGACCTATGTTAGGGATTACAGACAAGTAATTCTAAGCCAGCTAAGCATTAGAATCACCATAAAAACTTGCATTTTGTTTTATATTTGTTTGAGATAATAATTCAACAGGCTCCATGTTTCCCTCATTCCATGTTCTCATCAACAGTAACCAACTCAAGGCTAAAATAATCCTGATTATTTTGAAGAAATGTGGAACATTTTTTAAATGGACTGATGCCTGAGTCTTTCTCCCAGACAAACTGAAACTGGTTTTCATCATGCATTCTTGTCTGGGAGAGAGAGAGAACTGTCAGTGCAGCCCTAAAACAAAAAGAGGACATTTGACACTTCTGAGAAATGGCAAGGGAGGCCAATATGGCTGGAATGAAGAGGGACAGTAGTAGATTTAAGGTAATTGCCCAAGGAGGGTATAGTGACAAAGGATAGAAATTCTTGAAGGTCATTGTTAGAGATTTGGACTTCTACTCTGAAATAAAAATGACAGTGATGTGGGTACAGAATGACATGCTGTATGTCGGTTCTAAATGGTCACTCTGGCTTTGGCGGGGGAAGTGTGGTACAGGAGCATGGGATGAGGCAGGAAAGCTGCTTAGAAAGCTGTAGAAGGTAAGAGCTAATGGTGGCTCAAAGCAGGAGAGGCATGGTAGAGGAGTAGAGGAAAGTAACAGGAGTTGGTTTAGAGGTTCACTGGTGGATTGAAAAAATATATGAAAGAGAGGACTCAAGGATGAATTCAAGGTACTGGAACAAGCAACTGAAACTCAAGATGAAGTTGCCATCAACTGCGTTGAAGGATGCAGGTAGAGACAATTTCGAGTTCATTTGGGGATTTGTTAAATTTCAGGTGTGTATTAGATAACCAAGCGGAGATGTTAGTTACACACCTAGACGTGACCGTTGCGTTTGAGAGAGCGGTCTAGATTGGAGTGGAGGCTGGGAATTCATATCTGTTCTTCAAGGCCTGTGACGGAATTGAATCACCGCAGGAGTGAGCGTGATCCTGGAGGGAAGCTAAGGCCTGAGCCCTGGGCCTTTGTAGCCTGGAAGATGAGTAAGAAGTGGGAGAGCCAGTGAGGAGGAGAGGCAAGACACCACTGAGGGAGGCGCACAGCAGTGTGGGAGCCAGGAGTGTACAGCAGACATCAAACACCCATGTGCCGTTTCCCCAGATTCACCGGTCATTAACATCTTGCCACATTTGCTTTGCCTCCCTCGCTAAACATGTTTCTGTCGCGTACACATTCTGTAGATCCAAGCATGTTTCCCTGAGTCATTTGAAAGTAAGTGGCAGACATCATGACACTTTGCCACCAAGGACTTCAACATGTCACATGATAGGGGCCGTTGTTTCCCAGCCTACCTTCCCCTTGACCAGTTCTCTCTCCAGGTGTGTCTAATCCATCATTAAATCATTCTGTTGGATTTCTTAATTTTATTGGTACGTTTAAGTATATAGTGTAATGACATTCATCATTGAAAATTTGCACCTTTACATAATCCATCTTGGTTCTTACTTTTTTCCCCAATCCCCTGCCCTCTCTTCAGTCCCTCCACCCTTCCTATCTACAAAGACTGCTTCCATTTTTTCTTTTTCTCATGTCAATTCCATTCCCACCTTTCCTGTCCCCCACCCCTCCTACTTCCCCTTCCCCTTTGCACCTTTTCTTCATGTTTCACATTCTCTGTTAGAAACTGAAAGTGTAAATAAAGACTAAAAGGTATAATAGATAATGTTGGGTTCTTAATTTATGTGTTTGTTTCTAGAATTCTGTCTTCTTTTTAAATCTGTTATAGTTTCAAATGGAAACAAAGCTTTTGTACAAAGGGAGGGGAGAGGGCTTAAGGGAGGAAATGGGATAAAATAAAATTTATTAAACAAATTTTTAAAATTACAATTATAAAGATATATTTTCATAGATTCATCTTTCTTGCAGATATTTTAAGCATATCTTTACTAGCAAGAAAAATAAATCTGTAGAATTCTTACTAGTGACAATGGAAAGTTGACTAGAGCATATTTCATTAGCAAACTAGGAAGAATAATATATTAATTTAAAACCACATTTTCTTTTACATGGCTATATCCTACAACTATTTAAAAATTGAGATGTAATCCATATACCATGAAGTTTACCCATTATGGTGTACAATTTGGTGGGGTTTAGTACAGTAAGTTCACAGGGTCGATCTGCCATCGCCACTGTCTGTGTATAAAACATCTTTGTCACCCAAATGATACCTGATATTTGTTAGCGCCACTTTCCATTTTACCCTCCTGCCTATCACAGATTTACTCTCTCCATGCCTTTATCTAGTTTGGATATTTCATATAAATGGAATCATGTGGCTTTGTGTATCTGACTTCTTTCTTTTAGCTTACTATTTTTGAGGTCCATCTGTGATGTAACATGTATCAGTTCTTCATTTGTTTTGTGGCTTAATAATATCTATTGCACAGATGTACTACCTTTTGTTTTTCCATTCCTTAGTTGATGGCTATTTGGGTTGTTTACACTTTTGCTGTTCTGAATAATGCTACTAAGATATTTGTGTGAATGGGTTTCCAGTTCACTTAGGTATATACCCTAAGAGTGGAATTGTTGGGTCAGAAGGTAATTCTTATATTTAACTTTTTGAGAAACTGCTGAATGATTTTTAAAAATGGCTGCATCACTTTACCATAAGTTTTGGTATATAATATTTTCATTGTTATTTATCTCAAAGTACATTCCAGTTCCTATTATGGAGCAGTTTAGAAGTATATTTCCAAATTCAGAGCATATTGTACTTTCTGATAAACTTAACACCTAGCCCTGTTGTGGATTTATTTCTGTTGTCTGTTCTTTCTGCTGGTTTATGCTCATAATGCTGTGTTTCCTTGTAGTTAGCTTTATGCATTGGTCATCATACTAGAAAAATTATTTTTATAAATAAGACCTTGTCTTTGCTTCTGCTGTTCACTGTTAATCAAATCATGCCTTAAAGTTCTCCAGAAAACCCAGATTAATCCGACTGCAAGTCCTCCTAAGGGATGGTTCTTTTCCAGTCATTCTCACTGTATAGCCACTCGCTATCAGGAGTATCTTTGTTGACTTCTGTTCCTTTTGCCTTTCAGCGCCAACAAATGCCCCGGCTTATCTGATCATTTTCCTAGCAGCTCTCTGTCTTTTAAAGTCCTATCTATATGGCTCTGTACAAAGCCCTGGGACCATGGTAGTAGCAAAACCAGATACAGTGCCTGTTCCCGGAGAGCTTGAGTTCTAGAGTTTCGGAGAAACTTGACAGATTACTCAAATTATTTCCCAAAATGTAAAAATCTAGTTAAGGATTATTATTTAACCTGGTCAGGCAATTTGGGGAAAGGAAGTAAACTTTGAACCAAAATACAAATTCTAGGCTTATTAAAATAAATACACTGATAACATCTAGAGCAACTAAACTTCTTTATGAATTAAAATATATAAAGTATAGATTTATAAAGTAAAGATGACATCTGCTTTTTTTTTTTTTTTTTTTTTTTTT